ACAGAGCCTGCAATGACAGGGATCCTGGAGCAGAAGGTTGGCTCTGAGCCCCATGTTGAACACATGGGTGGTGGGGACCTGCTGGATGAGAAGGAAAACAGTCACGAGTACGACAGCACAGACKAAAAATCAGCAATGCCTGGATTTCTTCTCCTGCTATTCAAAAGTARACAGCAAAGCCAATGTTGGACACCAGCAAGGAGAAACAACAGTGGTGTCCAGTCCTGTTCTCAACTGCAGCTGGAATGGGTTCGGACCTAGACAAAGGCAGAACCCTCTTTTAGGAAGTGCCAGGGATGCCCATGAGACACTGCAGTGACTTTGTTCAGCTTTGTGTTGTCATTGGCAAAGAYCAGCTGTAGTTGCCTTTGGAACTGTGGAATTACCTGGCTGATGGATTCCCACAGCTGCTTTACCAAACCATGGAACAACARTGGCAGTCAGCTGCTGCTGGCGCTCCCTGGTGAGCCCAGTGAATCACAGGCTGGGATGCTGCTAAACCTAGTCAAGCAAATCCCCAGCCTACACTTTTCTGAGAATTTGCTGCTTTTTTAGAGATTATTCCAAGTGAATTGTCACCCCTGCAATTCTTACTGTTAAAAAAATAAAATAAAAACAAACCCAAAAAAGACATTTAGAAGCACAAAATGAAAGATATTTTCAAGATACTTGAGGTTTGATCTGAGGTGGGTTCAAGCATGCCCACAACATCTTGACCAGAATCTACCGGATGATTCATTATAGTTATACTCATTTTGTATTTCAAGAAATACCTTATCTGTTTCCCTGTGATGGCAGCATTCTGCATTCTTGTAGACTTCTATTCTCTTCGTCACTAGGATAAATATAAAAGCGTTTAGACAAAGTGCCTGAACGACTGCATCTCTCAGATCCCTTTGTTAAAGCTTGCCTTTGCTGAAGTCTCCTGTCTCTGTCCTGCTCTCCTTATGCCTTCCTCTCCTAAAGGATACGAACACCTGCACTTCAGAAATAACCACACAAGTTAGCTTAGCTTTCAAGCCTTTCTAGTATTTCAGGTTATCCCCACTTAGAACCGTTCTCTATGTTCTGTAGTAAAGTAGCTCAAACATACTCTGACAATTCATTCTCCAGCCTTCCACTTCTTTAATGACTATGCAAGTAAATAACAAACTGTCACCATCTCTGCTGCAACATGGTCTTTCAGATCATTATCCCTTTACTGCAAGACACAGGTAGTACACCCCACTTAAYCTGCATTATCACTGTGGTCAGCTGGTAAAAAGAAGGAACAGATGAAATTAATGACTTAGAGATACACAGTCCTAAGATGTGTGACATTGATCTTTTCAAGTAAGCACATTTTGTGATCCCAAGGATTGTTTCCTTCTAGTGCTACCACTGATCTCTATTCCCAGAAAAGCCTTATGGAAGAAGGTAACATGGTGAGACAGGGTAACCACGTAAAGATGTGAAACATGACCTACCTGAAAAAGCAGCAACATGAGCTACTTAAAATATTAGAATGAAAAACATATTTAAGAAAAGAAACAAACAGAGCTTTGAGTCACTATACTTTATTAATACTTCAGAAACATCAGGTCCTACAGTGGCAAGTACTTATCTCCACCTGTTTCCAATCTCTGCTTTGAAACAACTTCTTGCAATATGCAAATAGATACATGAGGCACTGTGTGAATACAAAAGTGACAGTACAAAAAAAACCCAACAATTAAACCTCATGCAATACATACATATATAAAAAAATATGGTAATGTAGCATAATACACGCAAGCACTATTAGAAAATCCATGTAAATGAATGTACAATATGCATAGCATTTAATGATCAATGACAACAGGTTTCTGACCTGTGCATAAAACCAGTCAGCTTAAATAAGAGTTTTAAGAGACCAGATAACTGGTTAAGCCACAGCTTATAAAACCTGCTGTACTGCAGCTTTTCTGCCCAGGGTCACAAGTGCAGATTAGCATACAAAATAAATAAGGACTATGATTCTACAAAACTTGGCTAACAGCTCCTATTTCAAAGTCACTGGCCCTCTTACTTTCATTCAAGGTTCATCAGCCAACACAATGGCAAGAAATGTGCCTAAAGCAACAGCTCTGCTCTTGGTACTGTTTTAATACTGATAAGAACATATGGTTTTAAGTCAGCAGGAGTAGTTGCAGAGGTCTGACTTAMCACTACACAAGCACRGGAMTGACATTACAGTACGGAGCAGACCCTGAAGAATGGCACTGACTGAGAGGTTGCTGAGCCTCGGGATGTGCTGCTGCTCCCAACCTGACTGCTTGGCCAACTGGGGCAGGAGAGAGAGAGAGCTGGGGAGGTGAAGGAAGGCAGAAAGCTCTTCCCCCCACTCTCAACAGTGCAAATGTTTGAAAAGACAAACAATCTGCAGGAACAAGGAAATACAGAGACAAGAAATTTCTAAAGTCCTGTAATTGGGGTGAGAGCTATTGTTACCTGAAACAAGCTTAAGTATTCCTATGGAGTAAGACACAAATAACAGGATTTTCTTCTTACATATCCAATACTGGTCCATGCCAAAGACAATAGCTACTGTAGTCTCTTATCTTCCTAGCTGACATGGTTCTTTTTATACACTTGGTGTTGCAGGCCTCCAAAGACTGGACCACATTCACTATGGACACAGATGAAGTGAAAATTATAAAATGGCAACTAAACTGACTTCACAGCCAACAGATTTYACAGCCTAAAAAGCAGCATTTTGGGGAGGGAAGGGGTGACAGTGTAAAAGGATATAAAAGATAGAGGAAAAAGGGAAGAAAACAGAGAGGACACAGAACAGAGCTGAATCTCAGAAGAGGAAATCAAAAGCAATTAAAGTCATTAAGTTAAAGAAACTTAGAGTTAAAAACTTTATACTAGCCTTTTTTTGTCAGTATAAAGTTTTGACTCCAAATAAAAGAAATATCTTGCTATTATTAAACATACTGAGAGAAAAAAAAAAAAACAAAACCAGAAAAAACAGACAAAGAAAACAGCATTAATTATCCAGTATTCAGCCAAATGCCTTTTCACAAAGTTATAAAGGGCACCATGAAAGACAGGAAGTATTTTTATTGCCCTGAGAAGGCCYCCATAGGATCACCCTAGTTTTCTAGCTATTATCTCTTTATCCTTGGACATCCAAAAAGAACCATCAYTGCTTAGATAAAAGGATAAATAGTTCCTGGCAGTAATGATGGTCACACATTCCAACTCCATTTCCAAAGAAACAAACCTTCTACCTGCCTAATCCCTCCAAAGGGATAAATAACTTCAAGGAGTGATCCACTAGATCATGAGGGAGCAAATACAATTCTGTGCATGGAAATCCAAAACCATTTAATCAGCAATAAYTTGAGTATTTGATATATTAATATCTCCTGGAAATTAGTAATCAGGCTTAATAGTTGAGAGAAAATTCAGTAATCAGAATCTAGCTAGTCACAAAGCCCAGATATATTTAACTTTCTAAGGAGCTGAATGTATCTTGTCTCTTCAACTAAAAAGCACATAATACGACATAAAACTCTGACTGAGAGGAGTTTGTTATCAAAATAAAACAGACATTACAAAGCAGCCAAATTCATTTGCTTAAAACAGTGGTTTTCAGCCGACAGTGCACTGCCAACTCTTCTAAGCTGCTTTTTTTTTATTCTATTGTTTGCATTCCAAGAAGCTTGAAAACATTTCTTTTCCTATTGATTTGGTCCTCTTCTGTTTAACAAAAGCTGCATCTTGCTAAATTTTCTATGTGGCCAACACAGCTGTCTCTTGTTTATTTTTGTGTGCACCAGCAGCAGCGCGCACAGCTTGGATCACACGTTAAACCAGGGCCAGTGAACAGCTTGAGAGCATTCACATCTGATGGGTCACACCAAAAGAAAGGTTTTAGTGATTCTCTGGAAGATTTTGGTTTCCTGTTCCATGCASAGATAACCTTATCTGTCACAAGAGCCTACCAGCTCATTTTAAGGCATTATTTTAAGAAGTGTCTGTGACAGATACTCATTCAGAGGTGCAATCACTCCTTCAAGTCTCCATTTGTTTACTTCTCAGCTGACATGACTGATATAAATAAAATTAGCTTTAAATAAAATAAAATCCAAGAAATATATTAAACCCTACCAAAATACATGCAGAAAGGGTCTGGCTTAGCTCTTAGAGCTGTCAGTGCTGCAATGCAAATACTCCACAGGGTTGGCTGGTTTAGTGGCTCAATTTAGTAATGCAGAGAGGACCAGCCTCTTGGTTTGATGCTGTTTGAAAGGTTATGATGAGCTTGGTAGAATCCCCCTGCTTTCCAGCCCCACTCAAATGCTACCAGACCTGCCATAAWCTTGTGTTTAGGGAGAGTATATAAACTTAATGTAGATTGGGAAGTTTTGTATTCATTTGAAAGCTTGTTTTTTTCCTTCAGTGCTTCCTGGATGGCATTTTTTTCATCAGGAGTGTCGGCTCCTCAAAAAGGGGGAATGGACCATTTCTTCCCAGTAGGATTCTGTCTAAAGGCGCAGGCCCAATTGCAAAAGGGACAGTAAAAGAACTAAGCARGGAAATTTAATTCAGGCTTAACCAGAGCTAAATGATACATGAATCATCTGCAATCTGCTCTGTTGTGGCTAACRTCCCCCTACCTTCTCCCTAAAGCATTTGCTTGATACTCCAGTACTGTAAGACTAGAAATGGCTGGTGCTGTACTTCAGTACTTGCATCCACAGGAATACAAATAATTTACCTAACAGAGTCAGACTTACACTAAAAGTAGAGCTGGAATAGTAACTTAGACTTTACTGGCCRTGCCCTTTATAGATTGAGTGTATTTGACGCTTGCCTTTTGGGTGCAAAGCCATTTGCAAATACCTGTGTCCTTGTCCACTTGTTTCAGAAACACCTTTTAAAAGATAGTTTTTAAAGTCTTTAAG